ATCACAAGGTCTCATATTTTATGTGATATTTAATTTTTTACAATGGGAAAAGTAAGGCACAAATGTTTAGATGATATGCGCAGTAATACCTGCCTACCTACAGGATGGCACTGAGGACTCAATTACATAACATACACGAAAGCACTTAATCAACCAAAGAGATCTAAGTGAGCATAATAAACCTAGGCCCAGATTCCCACAGGAAAGAACGAACTAGGATTCAGTCATGGCCACCACTTTTATCTGCTTCTCAACTATTAAAGGGACAGAAATCACGTGGAGGTCACGTCAAAGCGAGGGCTCTGATTGGACAGGTCTGGGCCAGGGCAGGCGACAGTCTGTCTACCTACCAGGTTCCAGGGTGAGGCCAATGTCAGCTTCTGGGACCACCCTTTTGAGGAATTAGACTCTAAAGGATCATCCTAATTCCTGGTTCATGGTCAGCCTTAGAGAGTGAATTTCCTGGCCAGGCAGTGGCTCATGCCTGTAATCCCAGCACTTTGAGAGGCCGAGGTGGGTGAATCACGAGGTCAAGAAATGGAGACCATCCTGGACAACATGGTGAAACCCCGTCTCTACTAAAAATACAAAAAAAATCAGCTGGGCGTGGTGGCTCATGCCTGTAGTCCCAGCTACTTGGGAGGCTGAGGCAGGGGAATCGCTTGAACTCGGGAGGCAGAGGTTGCAGTGAGCTGAGATTGTGCCATTGCACTCCAGCCTGGTCGACAGACCGAGACTCTGTCTTAAAAAAAAAAAAAAGAGTGTATTTCCTGAGTATATTGCAGACTCTTGTTTCCTTAAAGTGAGCTTTGGAATAAGTCTGTATACTACATCTGGTTCAGAACATAGTATTTTACAAACTCAGTATTAAAATGTTCTTTCTCGGCCAACCAAAGAGCTAAAGGGTTGAATTTTAATTACAGTGTCTGCTATTCCGTCTTCCAGGATAAAAGTCAACAACATGTAAAAACATAGAAAGCTGTTTTGTCAGTTCACTGTTACATGATTTCAGTTCATCTCAAAAGGCTGGCGGGAGGCAGGGAAGAACTATTCTTGTAATCACATCCCCGCCTCAAAAAGAAAAACCTGGATTCTCAAAGATTTCAAATTGACGGGAGACCAACTTGTCTTTTCTATCTGGAGAAATGGTCTCAAAATATCCAGGAGAACAAAACCACCTGAGCAAACAAGTAATTTGCAGAAATGCTGATGCCTCCTGATAGGGAAGTACTCTGGGCTCAGACTTGGCAAAGAATAAAAAAGAAACCCACAGCCCCTGTAGGGCAGTGCTTCTCCAACGTGGGCATCCATCAGAATCACCTGGGAGGGCTTGATAAAACAAATTGCCACACCTCAAGAGCTTCCGATGGAATAGGTCAAAGGTAGAGCCCAGGATGAGGCCAACGCTGAGGGTCCCACATACAGGCTGAGGTTGGTCTGAGTATAGCACTGGGTCTTGACAGCAACCTTCCCGAGAGGAACCATGTCTCCCTCACAGCTGCACACACAGTTGGTTCCCAGTAAATATTTGCCGAATGAATGACCATTCTAACTTTCATTTCCAGGAACAATTTTACTACTTGTTTATGCACACTTGCTGTATCTTATATACAGATTCATTTCAAAAAACATAATTACATATATGCTGGGCACTATAGCCCTTAACCTTAAGGGGTCCACAGTTAAACTGACCCCAATCATAGACACTAATCACACACTTTTTCCTTATGATACCCAGATAGTTTAATCTTAGAGCCTTCTGCCACTGAAGTCAAAGAAAACAACTCACCTATCTAAAGAACCCTAAATAAAACCCTGCTTAGTCCAAATGGACCGATTCATTGCATACACCCACCCCCTCACCACACACACACACACACACACACAAAATTAAGACAAGAATTTGCCAGGAAGGAACACAAATACCTGTGCCCACACTGGAAACTCAGAGCCCTCCTTAAAGCCTCTTCCAGTTGCTGCTAACCAGAAGACAGCCCAGAGAAGAGCCCCAGGTGAAAATGCTACTAAATGTTTACGGATTTCTTCTCGAAATCCTTCTACGTTCACTGAGCAAAGCTCAGAAAGAATTTTGGCAGTCATTTTTCAAATCCTCCGCCTGATCTGCATGTTACCATAGTCGCATTCATTCGGAAAAACAGGTGTTTCTGTTAAAATTAGCTGTTTCAAACTGCCAAATATTTTAGATCCCTATGCCAGCTTTAAAAAAAAAAAAAAAAAAAAAGTGTGTATAAAATAACCAATCAGATGTAACTGTTGCTTCCAGAATTATAAAAATGAGGATGGGGTGAGGGTGCGGTGAGGGGTGGGGAAGAAGGCACATACACACACATCACATACTTTGTGTATTTCCTAACACCCAGAATGAATAATAAAGACTACACTTAAAACAGACAAAGAAAGATGGAGCTGTGATTTCTTCTGGTTAAGTCTTATGTTTGAAAGACTGTTTTTTTTCCATTTACTAAGTAGACTATCATAAATAATGTCTTTTGTTCAAAGAACTTAGCCATAATGATTTCCTTTTCTCATGACCATTCCAAGGAAGAAGGTTCTCAGCATTCCCTGGTCAAGATGATGTGCATTAAGCCTGTATAAGAAAACTTGCCCTCAGACGTCAGAACCCAAGGATTAATGTCTTAAATTAACTCCAGTGTGGTTTACAAATTAAAAAAAAAAAAACAAAAAACCAGGCTACTCTGATTTTATTCCTGGAACCAGTATCTCTGCTGACCTTATTAAACCCTATTATGAAATAGGTCTGAGACACTGCTTTCTTAAAAATCCGAGGCTATTTAAAAAACAAGTTTAGCAACCTGGGACATTAGAGGAAAGTTAAAATGTCAAAGACCTGTGCCCAAATCCCATGCCTAGCGTTCCTCACTGTGGCTTCTTGAAATCAGCTGGAAAAAAGTACATGCAGAATTCATTTTAAGACACCTTCTGGAAGAAAAGCCCTGAACTTTTATCTTATAAATTTGGAGACGGTGGGGGTGTGGGGTGAAAACACTTAAGTTTAGAATTTTTATCAACTTCAGAGGATAGAGATAATGCATATTACATGACCAAATGCAGAATACACAGAAACACCAAGAGCAACTATCATTTAGGTAAGAGGTTTCAAAATTAATTTAGTGACTAGCCAGTTAACTTACTCCAAACAGATAGGGAAAGTGATTTTTTTTTTTAATTGGCTTGAGCTGTCCCGAAAACTGCTTCTGCAAGGAAAGAGTCCAAGAAAAAACTGGCATTTCTTTTTCTTAATCTAATACCAAATTTACAGATTTCTGGCCCTTATTTTACTTAGTGTTTGTTCTTTTCAGTTTACTCTCTGCGATCTGCATAGGATAAAGGAAGATGAGCCATATAATCAAACTCTATCATTACTTATGTACATTCAACAAATAACAAACATTTCTATAGGCATGCAGGACTGTCACTGGCACATGAGTTAGAATCCCATCTCCCCTTTTGAGACCATTTCTCCAGATAGAGAAGACAAGTTGGTCTCCTGTTCATTTTAAATCTTCGTGAATTCAGGTTTTTCGTGTGTGTGTGTGTGTGTGTGTGTGTGTGTGTGTGTGTGTGTCTGTGCCAGGGATGGGGGCGGTGGGATGTGATTCCAAGTCTAGGGTTCTTCCCTACCTCCTACCACCTGAACCCCATCCCAACTTTAAAGGACAGAGGAGAGGAATAAAGATGCTTAAGGTCATTTTCCTCTTTTAAAGACTTCAAAAAACCAAAACTTACCAGGATTTAAAAGAGAAAACCTGCCCCGTAGTCATTTTTTTTTTTTTTAAATGTAGGTACCCTACCACTGTAAGACTTTTCAAACTTCAAATTCAGGGTGGTGAAACAGTCCTAGCCTTATCTAACACAGCTTAAAGATATTTTACATATTGCATTTCATGTCCTTGTAGTAAAAACAGCTATTCAAACAAGTAACACAGTCAATACGACTCTTCTCTCTAACGTATTACAGTACAAAATGCTTCCTTTTCAGATCTGTGAGAACTGCGAGGGTTTAAGCACAACAAATCCCGAGAAAAATGTAAATGGAACAAATCTAAAGCACGCACGAGTTTTTACTCATGGAGGCCTCCCAGGCTTCAAGCACTGTAAATAGATTTGTTGTGCTTTTAGTGGAAGATGTTCAGAATTTAACTAGGTTCAACAAAACTATACGCCCCACCACCACTCACAGAAAAAGGCTCCTAAAAACGTCTGCAGAAAAGACACACTACCTTAATATTACTGCAAATTTCAATCAACAAAGCATTCTTCCAACATACAGTCAACCATGGAATTATCTTAGATCAAGGTCACAGAAATAGGATCTTGGCCTACAATTATGTTGTGGCTCTAGAACGTTCTGAACATGCTTTCCAGGATACTTCTTCCTCTATTATAAAGCAGTCTAGGAGCCTCTATTTTTTTTTTTCTAAAACCATGAGGATCTTGTGTTCCTAGACCTGTACACATAAAAGATGCTAACTATTCTCCCTTGACGTACAGTACTTTTAACAGTTCCATCCATAGAGACTCTGAGATGGGAAGGCTGGCATACCACCCGGGATTAGGAGGGGCTCTCATCTGAAAATGACAGGCAGAATACAAATCAGAATTCAGGCAGCCTGAGCCACTGCTCCTGATGAAAAGATAAGTGCAGACAAAGGGAGCTAAATCACTTTCCAGGAAAAACGAGACAAAACCGTCCCAAGCACTCTACATAACCCAATTCCCTTTGCGTCACCTGCCTTTGAAAATAGAATGTTACACACAGTCCTCTCTTCAGTTCCAGGCTGCTCAAGGGACTACTTCTTGAACATTACTTTTTTCTTGAGGAAAAAGCAGAAAGGATTGGGAATTAAGGGCCCACCTCACTACTACTGAAATAGCTTTCTCAAAGACCCTTCCCATCCGTGACATGCAGCATGCAAAATTACAATTATCGAAAAATCAACAATCATTGCAAAAAGCCATCTGAGAAACATAACATTTTAATAGATGAAATAAATACTCCAGTACATGCAAGGTAAAAACTTGACGTTGGGGGAAAAAAAAAAATCACTCTATAGTGTAAATTAAAAAATAAAACACACACTCACAGTAGCTTCCCCCCATTTGCAAATCACATGGCGAATTCATACTCTTTCCACACCAAGTATACTCCTAATTCAACACGATTGCTTAAAAAAAATGACATACAACACAAGGTTAGCTACATCCATGTCTAAGGAGTGAAAACTGAGGTAACCTTTCTTTGACTTAAAAACACAAAACAACGAAAATGAAATGAACCCATGACCTCTTTCCTGCCCAATGAATAATAAAATTTAGTTGAAAAATTCCGGAAGACGGGCTGGGGTAGGGGGCGGGAGTGATAATACAGCCAGCAGATGACACCACCTTCCAGTCGCTACCGCGTGGGGGCTGCCGGACAGACACCTGGGCCCTCGGAGTGCGTGAGCAGGTTGTACGCAGGGCCCTGCCTTCTGGAAGATTGCTTTCCAGCATTTAACGTTGGGGAGGGTAGGGGGTTTCACCTATGATTTCTTTGGTATAAATGGAGAGGGGCAGAGAGTATCTTCCTTTAGTCTGGGGTGGAAGAAGGGGTATGGGGGGGGCGGTGCTAATTCACAGAATTGGAATTCACTGGCGGTAAAGTCCTGGGCGAAGACCTCTCCCTTAAAGCCTGAGATAGCAGGGTGCAGCCTTCAGAAACGGCGCAGGCCGAGTTCCTCAGCCTCTCCCTGTGGTCCGACATCTTGGCGCCCCCGTCGGGGTGCTGCGCCAGATCCCTGAGGCACTGGGTCAGGAGCACGCAGGCCGACACCACGCTCATGGCGCCTCCCAGGATGGCGGTCTGCACCGCCTTGCCTTCGGCGCTCACGGCTGCCGCGCGACCCAGGAACTGCGGCTCGGTGGCGAAGCCTACCAGGGCGCTCACGGCCTGCACCAGGGGCCCGCTGAAGAGCGCGCAGCGGCTGCGCGCCAGCTCACTGGGTGCCACCTTGACCTCGCGCACGCAGGCCAGGAGCGCCGACGCGCTGGTGCTCATGCACTTGACGCCCAGCTTGAACTGCTCGCGCGAAAAGCGGTCCCGTGACTTGTCACTGGCCAGGGCGCACGCGTCCGTCAGGAACTTGAGGTTGCGCGACAGGCCCTGCGACACCTCCAGCAGCAACTGCGGCGTCATGTCGGCCAGCGGCGTGGCGCGCAGCACGGCGCAGCCCTGCTCCACCTCGTGGCGGCAGCGCGTCACGCGGTAGCGGTCCACCAGGCCCGGCTGCGCGGGCTGCGCGCCCGGCGTGGCCACAGCGGCCAGATAGGCGGCGTGGGCGGAACACTCGGTCAGCGACACCACCAGGTCGCCCAGCTCCACCAGGCTGTCCCCCGCCTCCCCGAAGCGGCCCATGTTGAGCTGGCTCTGCACGTCGTGGGTGAGGATGGAGAGCCCCTTGGTGCGCGCGATGATGGTGTCTCGGCACTGCTCGAAGGACTCGGTGCCGGCACCAGAGGAGGCGGGGCCCTCGAAGAGCACCGGCCGCGCCTCGCTCGACAGCAGCAGCAGGTCCGCCACCAGCTGCATCTTTCCCTTGCAGTGGTCGCAGACGGATACCAGCCTCTTCCGCGCCCCGCCGATGGCGCTCGCAGGAGCCGGAGAAGCCGCCTCGCCAGTGGGCTTCCCAGCACTGCCGCTAGCCATCGCGCCCGGGGGGCACTGGCATGCCGCTGGGGAGCCCGCTACCACCGCCACTGCCGCGGCCACTGCCGCCGCCCCGGCGACCGTCGCGACTCAGCTGGCCAAGGCCGCGGTGCCTTCTCCGCACCATCATGCCATCCACCGCCGCGGGCAGAGGGCACTGGGCTGCGGCGGCGGGATCTGGGGCGGCGCGGGGTGGGCCCGAGGGCCAGCGAACGCGGGAGGCTCTTCGGAGCAAGGGGAGGGGCTGCAGCTTTCGGCCTCCTAGAGGGCTTGCAGGAACCATGAACCGGGGCACAGCAAACTCACTGTCCGCGCTCCTCGTCGCCGGGCTGCCAGGAAAGTCCCTTCTGCTGCTTCGCTGCCGCCGCTGCCTTCCTGGGCATGGCCTGGCCCGGCCCTCGGAGCGGGGAGGGCGGGACGGGGAAGCTGGGAGTTGTCCTTCCTTCCTTCCTTTCTTTGAAATCAAAATCCTTTTCTCGGGGAGGAGCGCGGGAGGCAGCTCAGGCGGGTTCTGCTGTCAGCCGCCGCGCTCGAGGCCACCTCGGGCTCGGCGGCGCACGTGGGCTTCAGGCGCCGTGACCCCGCCAGGCGGCACTTCCCCGCGACGGCAGCCGGGGCCGGCTCTCTGGGACGCGCGGCCGCCCGGGGCGCATCTCCTGCCTCCCGCTCTCGGGAAGCGGCGCCGGCGGCCGCAGGGCAGAGGGTGTGGCCGCTGTCGCGGCCGCGCGGAGTCAGAGTCGGGCGGGAGCCTGCACTGATTGCGCACGGCGGCCGCCCCGATCGCGCTCCGGCTCTCGCCCGCCCGCCACGCCCGGGAGTGCCGAGCGCCGCGGCGGCCCCTTCCCGCCTCGCCGGTTCACAGAGCGCGGCCCGGCGCCGCGGCGGCACGCCCTCCCAGACCGCGCGCCCGGCGGCCCGCCGCTGGCTGTCGGCGCGAGTCCATCGCCGTCGCCTCCTCGTCTGGGGCCCGCAGCAGATGAGCTCTCCCCAGGCCCCCGGCCCCGAGCATCGGACGCCCCCGCACGCGTCTCCCTGCGGCCGGGCCAACTCAGAAGGTCCCCGCGGCGCTGCGGCAACCGGCCCGGGCCCCGGCTCCTGCCATTTTTGTCAACCGCCAACTTCCGAGCGAGCGGGGAGAAACTGAAAGGAAGGGCGGGGGCCGCGAGGCAGAGGGGAAAACACCCGCTTCCTCTCCGCGCGCGGCTTCACCTCGGAGCGCGGCCGTGGCTGCGCCGCCGCCCGCAGGGGCCGCCGGAGGCTGTTCCTCTTCCCGTCCGCGCCTCGCCCCCGGGCTCGCCGCCGCCGCCGCCTCGGCCGTAACCTCCCTGGAGCCTATAGAAATCTTTTGTGTGGCGTCACCGCCTTTCGTTTAAATCCCGCTTCCTCCTCTCGCCCTTCCTCCCGCCCCCTCCGCCGCTCCCGGATGCTTGCGCGATGCGCTGCTCCTCCCCCGGGAAGCTGGGTGGCTGCGGAGGACGCCGCCGCCCAAAGCAGTCGCGGCCGGCGCGGGGTCGGTGGTCCCGGGGCTCCCCCGCGGCCCTGGGCCGAGAGACCTGGGGAGCGGACGGGGGAAGGCCTGCCCCGGGCCGGGGGCTCGGCGCACACCCACGGGAGACCGGGGCGCAGCCGCCCGCGGGCCTTACGTAAGCTCTTAGCCGGACCGGGGGGCTCCACGCTTCCTCCCCGCCACGAGAGCAAGTCTGAAAGGTGACCTGGCTTCTGGGCTGGCGGGAGGAGGACACGCGGTACCGCCTCCGGCGATTTGCTGGGGCTGGTCATCTCGGTCTGCGCCACTTCGCCCGGTTTTCCAAAGCCCCCAGCCCTTTGTTGTGTTTGCTCTGCTTCCACGATGGGTTTCTGACCAGCCGTGCAGTCTAACGACAAGAGGAAAAGAGCACTGGATATGGAGTCCCAAGAGTGGGGCCAGACGCTTGCCCGTTCCTCCCTTGAAATACGCCTTATGCAGTGAGAGCGCGGGCTCTGAACCAGACTTAGGATCAGCCTTTCCCAAGCCATTTGGGAGTTCTGTAACCTTGTTCAAGTTCTCTCTCCAAGTATCCGTCTTCTCTTCTAGAAATCAGAGACTTTGCACAGGCCGCTTGAGTACTTGGTTCCTAAACAGTGGCCGTTAGAATGATGATGAGCCTTGATCACGGCAGTTTGCCGTCTCATAATGCCTATTTATTCGTCTCTATAATGGAATAATAGTGGCTGCTGTTAAGTGAATTAAATAAGACAGGCTTTGGAGGGAAACATTATTATTCCAGTTTTGCAGATAAGGAAACTGATGGTCAGCTGCTTGAAGTAACTTCCAAAGATCACAAGTCAGCAAATGGCAGTGACCCACGTCCACCCCCAGCTTCTTTTTTACCCGACCTTGTTCTTCAGGAAGTGGTTAAAACACCTGGGCTACTCCCAGCAAAATGGCCCGTTTGGCAGTCCCAAAACAGGTCCTCTAGGTGCCCAGCCCAACACACGCTGGGCGTGCTGAGCCAACAGAAATGTTTGTTCCTCTGTCCCTTCCTAGAACCCCGTGTCACCTTTCTCCAGCTAGTTACAAATGGTACTTTGAACTGGGATGACATTTCAGTTTATCGGCCAAACCCGAGTTCTGCGAATGAACTGTGAGACATGCTATTAATACATTAACCATGACCAGCAGGTTCAAACCTGGATGGATAGTCATGCTACTTAGAACTGAAAGTATCCTTAAATATCTTTGGAATCCAAAAATACAACAGTTGGATAAGTCAAGGTTTTTCCATGGTGACCCAGGAATTGCACCGTGGTCCTTCTAAGCTCCAAAAAACTTATGATGAGAGAGAAGCCAGACTCTTCTGTGCCTAGTTTATCCATGAGGCTGCTCTAAGACCAGGGGATTTTTTTTTTTCCCAAAGCCATTAGTGCCCATGGGGGGTCCCATTTTCCCTTCTACACATGCAGTCTGTTTTGATGTTTACGGAAACCCACCCCAGCAATGAGCTGTGTTACACACACACTGTCCCACTCTATTCATTAAGGTTTGGTTTCATTTTTCAAACTGATAGCATTGTTTTCTGGCCCTTCTCTGCTTCATTTTTCAGTTAGGGAAGCTCAATCTAAACTGATCCTCCCAGGTACCGCCCTCACCTTCCTTTAGGTTCACCTTTACTTTGTGCCATTTTTCATTCGCTCTGCGATCACCTGTCATGTGCTAGGCCCCAAAGTTACATAATAAGTAATATGAGGCCTCCGTTCTTAAAGATGAGAGTCCAGGGACGGCAATAGATTCAGGAGAAACAGAATTTCACTATCGGTACAGTGAGAGCACAGCGTCAAAAACTATACCAGAGAATACAACTACACAGATAGAATATTTGCAGGTAGGCAGGGCCATGTGGTTCTTTCTGACCAATGAAATGGAAGGGGAAAGCTATGTGGGTTACTTTCAGGCTGAGGCAATGAAAAGCCAATTGTAATTCTCCACTCTCTTACCCTCCTGTAACTACCACGGAGACTGCGTTCTAGTTGGTGGAGCCTCCATTAGTCTAAATAACCACGTGGAGCACACCGTCTTGATCTGTACTGGACATGTAATGTGAGCACAAAGTAAACTATTGGTGTGTTAAGCCACAGAAATGTGAGGGTTGTTTGTTGCTGTTGCATATTTTAGCCTAATTAGATTAAGAGGATGGCTTGTTGGTGTCTGCCCTTAGTCATTCTAGTAACGGCTTTTTCTTTAGAAAACCCCGGGGGCTGGGCGCAGTGGCTCAAGCCTGTAATCCCAGCACTTTGGGAGGCCGAGGCGGGTGGATCACGAGGTCAAGAGATCGAGACCATCCTGGTCAACATGGTGCAACCCCGTCTGTACTAAAAATACAAAAAATTAGCTGGGCGTGGTAGTGCGTGCCTGTAATCCCAGCTACTCAGGAGGCTGAGGCAGGAGAATTGCCTGAACCCAGGAGGTGGAGGTTGCGGTGAGCCGAGATCGCGCCATTGCACTCCAGCCTGGGTAACGAGAGCGAAACTCCGTCTCCAAAAAAAAAAAAAAAACACAAAACAAAACAAAAACCCACCTATTACTCCTTCTAACCCTCTCTTAAAACTAAAATAAATGGGAATCAAAAGTATTTGTCTTGATCTGGGCCCCAAATTCATATGTTAAAACTTAATCACCAGTGTGATGGTATTACACGGTGAGCTGTTGGGAAATGGTCAAGCCATGAGGTAGAGCACTCCTGAATGCGGTTGGTGACCTTATAAAAGAGTTATGAGAGAGCTGTTCGCCTCTTTTGCCCTTGCGTCATGGGAGGATGTGGTAACACAGAGGACACATCATCTATGAGGAATGGGCCCCTGCTGGAGCCTTGATCTTGGACTTCCCAGCTCTAGAGTTGCGAGCAATACATTTCTATTAGTTATGAATTACCCAGTCGAATGTATTTTGTTGTAGCAGCTCAAATGAACTAAGACAGTATTTTTTTTTAATGGATGTTGAGTGAGAGAAGAAAGCCGAATATGTGTGGCCTGAGGATTGGCTGGGGGAAGATAAATGGAGTGGATGAGAGGGAGCTGCTGAATGGCTTGGCCCCTGGAGAACACATTCTCAGCACTGGCTCAAGGCCCACACTGAATAGGCATTTGATGATAAGTGAACAAGGTGCAAAGACAGAACTGAGGATTTGGGCAGGAAAGGTGGCACTGACGGGCTGAGACAGGCAGGATTGGGGAAACCACCTTTTACCTTCTCTCACCTGTTTCAGAAGGTGCGTCCACCACTTGGACTTCAGGCAGGTATAAGAGAACAGGATAGGCACTGTCTTTTGTTTTTATTTTTTTATTTTATTTTTTTTGAGACGGAGTTTCGCTCTTGTTGCCCAGGCTGGAGTGCAATGGTGTGATCTCGGCTCACCGCAACCTCCGCCTCCCGGGTTCAGGCAATTCTCCTGCCTCAGCCTCCCGAGTAGCTGGGATTACAGGCACGCGCCACCATGCCCAGCTAAGTTTTTTTGTATTTTTAGTAGAGACGGGGTTTCACCATGTTGAGCAGGATGGTCTCAATCTCTTGACCTCGTGATCCACCGGCCTCGGCCTCCCAAAGTGCTGGGATTATAGGTGTGAGCCACCATGCCTGGCCCTGTTTTTATTTTTTAAATTGTGGTAAAATAACATAAAATCATCTTAACCATTTTTAAGTACATTATTGTGCAACCGTCACTATCCTCTGTCTCCAGAAATGTTTCATCTTCCCCAACTGGAACTCCATAGTCGTTAAATGACAGCTCCTCACTCCCCCTTCTTCCAGTCCCTGGCAACCACCATTCTACTTTCTCTATGAATTTGATGACTCTAGGTACCTCGTGTTAGTGGAATCATACAAGATTTGTTATTTTGTGCCTGGCTTATTTCACTTAACATAATGTCTTTAAGATTCATTGATATTGTAGCATACATGGGAATTTCCTTCCCTTTTTAACGGGTGAATAATATTCCATCGTAAGCACTCTGGATCTTTTCATTCTATCAAAAACTTACATATATATATTGTAGAGAGAAAGTCTCAGAGACACAGTCTCACTATGTTACCCAGACTGGTCTCACATTCCTGGACTCAAACAATCCTCCCACCTTTGCCTCCCAAAGTGCTGGGATAAC